GCTATAGGTAGAGCACAGAGTCATATGTATAACGGTAAGTCACGACACATTCGTCGTCGACATAACACCGTGAGACAACTACTCTCTAATGGAATTATTTCCATAGAATATGTTAAGTCTAAAGACAACATAGCGGATCCACTAATCAAAGGGTTAGCAAGAGAGTTAGTTGATAATTCATCGAGGGGAATGGGACTTAAGCCTATTTAATAAGAGTTACCACAACGGCAACCCAACCTAGTTGATTGGAGATCCCAAGATCTAGGTTCAAAGGGACAACCGAGTTGTGAATGACTCAGAAGGATCACTGGGGAGTCTAACTCCTACCCATTTCTTTGATGAAATAGTGATGTCTGTAGCGTTTGAGGTTAAGTAAAATTTTAATGATTCTTATAACTAGATAAACCTAGTGGAGTATGGCAGGATACTTTTCATAAGTATCACCTATGTGAGTGTGAACTAGGCCGGTTCTATAAGATTTGTGAAGGGCTACAAGTTTTTAGAGCACTCATGAAAGATCAGGTTGTTCAGGGCCAAAATGAACACAATAATGAGAACTAAACTGTGTCTGGGGATATACTGTGTGAGTTCTATTGTCTTGGTTTATACAAACGGCTGAACAGTTCAAAACATCATGTTCACTGGTTAGCTAGTAAATCCGATAGTGTCTCATAAGGGAAGGTTCAAAGCCAAAAGCTACCTATCCTTTGCAGAATATTTTCAATTTCTGTACTCTTTGTAATAGATCATGTTGTTGCATTTTCTCTCCGTCAAATTCTATTCATGTGGGGGATTGTTGGAAAAATGGTTTTATATATGGCTTATTTTGGGCCGACTTTGAGCCCAAATTTGAGTGGGCCCCAAACGTCTTTTGGGGTGGGTCGAAAGAGGTGTAGTGTTCTTTGCCGTGTGGCAAGTCACACAGTGAAGATAGAACGTCAAAACCATTTATGAGTGAATGGGAAGTTGACGTCATTTTCGGGTCTAACATTAATTTTTTAGATAAAATTCTTTTGAATTTTTTCAAATAAGAAATTATTGTGGAAATTTAATTTAAATCTAAATTCAAATTTTTGGGTTCCTAAAGTGGTTTCTTAAAGTTTGTCAAATAGATTAATATTTATATTCCAAACCGGTTTTATTAAATCTATTATACTATTGGCTTTATTTGATTATCTAGTCTAATAGTTTAATAATATTTATATTCCAACAGTTTAGAATTGTCTCCTTTGGCTACTTCTTCAAATTGTTTGGAAGCTATATAACTGTTCCTGTACAACGGGCTCAAATATGTTCAAAACAATATCACACCTGTTCGGATTCCTAAAGCACCTGTTGACCATGTTTCATACCTGTTTGGGCTGTGTAAATGTTGCCTATATATAGAGCCATATTCTAGCAGTCTAAAGATCGAAAAGATGAATCAGAAATTCTTTTATTTTGCTGTCCAATTTTTCTCTAGTGCATTTATTCTTCATATTTAGGCCTCGTTTGGGAACAGGCTAATTTAGTAACTTTTTGGCTATTTGGCTAAAATGTGATGTAAAAAAAACTAGTATGTTTGGGATGACTTTTTGGCTTTTTACGAAAAGATGTGCAAAAAGTAGAGAGAAAAAGGAATCTTTGACTTTTTAGTATGAGTTGTTGACTTTTTAGCTTTTTTAGTAACTTTTTGACTTTTTGGCTAAAATAGCCTCTTGCCAAACGAGGCCTTAGTTTTAGAATAAATTAAAGAGAGTATAGATCACCGGTTTGGTTCACCGAACAAATTGTTTGAAGTGCTACTACAATTTGTGAAGATCATTGTATCTTGAGAGATAGACACCACTCAACTGTAAGCACCGTAACGGGGCGAATCTGTCTTAAGAAGAGAGTGTCACACACTCGACTTGGTCTTTTAATTTTAATTCGGTTCGATAAGTAAATTCGATATGTTATTTATTTATTTTATTTGAATTTATTTAAAAATTTTTATTTATGCATAAGATTATTCCAACAATATTTACATCCTTCTACTTGTACAAATCCATGTTTTACTTTTATTTTTTGCGTTATTCTATAGTTTAAGACCAATCATTTTTTTCTTCTTATAAGGAGAAATGGAAACCACCACTAAAATTGACCATGTAAATGTCACATTTATTGTCATTATGAAACAAGAACAAGAACAAAAAAATTTCACTGAAAAAAACCAATAAGCTAATTATTTCAAAAATGGGGTCACTGCTGTGCTAAAAACAAAATAATAATTGTTGTGCTTTAATTTGAGGTGTGTTATGAGTTTATTTTTATGATCCAAACTGTTCATTTTGTAGGATTTATTGACTACTTCATGCCTACCAAAAATCATATTAATCGGATATCAATAAGTATATGATCGAATTGCATATTTTTTATGTTATTTCTCAAAGGAAAAACTTAGTGTTTATTTTTTTGGTTATCAATCATATAGTTATTAGTATCTGATTAATATGATTTTTGGTAGGCATGAAGTACTCAAGAAACCCTACAAAATGAACAATTTGGATAATAAAAATAAGCCCATAATACACCTCAAATTGAGGCACAACAACCACTGTTGTTCTTTTAGTATAGCGGTGACTCCATTTCCAATTCTTTCTCATTACAATTGTTAAAAGCTCGTAGCTCACATTAACATGGAAGTGGAAATAGATTGTGTATTAATTGTTTAATTCCTAAATAAATTAACAAGTAATATGCAATAAATTTAGGAAGAATGTGTTAAGGTTTTAGATTGGGCATCCACAAAAATGGTGCTCAAGTTAGCCATAGGCTAAGTCTTTTGTCTTGTTTTATTTTGTTTTTTTGAATTGGTTTAGGTCAAAAATCTTAAGCCCAGGCATTCCCCAAAGAGCTAATAACTCGTGGGTTTATGGTCACAAGTTGACGTTCAATTAAAATCTTAAATTTGTTTATTATTTTTGGCAAAAAACAAATCAACTCACAAATGTGTTCAACGACCCATCATTGGGCATCCACAAAAATGGTGCTCAAGTTAGCCATAGGCTAAGTCTTTTGTTTTGTTTTATTTTGTTTTTTTGAATTGGTTTAGGTCAAAAATCTTAAGCCCAGGCATTCCCCAAAGAGCTAATAACTCGTGGGTTTATGGTCACAAGTTGACGTTCAATTAAAATCTTAAATTTGTTTATTATTTTTGGCAAAAAACAAATCAACTCACAAATAGATTAAGTTGAAGAGTCATCTCTTATGAATTAATGAACTGAGTCAACAGGTCTACTTCTAGGGTAACGGACCAAGCTAAGTTATGCTTCAGCTACCCAAACCTAAGCCTTACACGAACCAAATCAACCCAGCCTTTCTTTGGCATGAGTTGAAGCGGAATTTTTTTTAAGTTAAAATAGTCATAAAAAGTCAAAATAAATGTTTTAATTTAATAAAATAAAATGTCACATTTAAATCATAATTATTTTATTTTTTTCACAAAAGTCACAAAAGTTAAAAAAAATAAAAAAATTATAGTTAAAAAACTAAAAAATTAACTCACATTTCAAACAAACCTATGAGTTTGGGCCACTTGCATGCCTTCAAATCAAATAATGACTCTTAGTTTTTAAAATTTTTAGTTTTCAGAATTCACTTTTTAAAAAATTTTACATTTCTGTTTTCATATTTTTTTTTGTTTTTACTAAATTTTTTTAATATTTTAAGTAATTTTTTTAATTTTTAAACACACCTAACATAAATATAATTAAAAAGTATACTATTTGTGAAAAAAAATCTTTAAAAAATTCATTTAATACCAAAAATATATAAAAAATGAAAATTCAATATTTATATTTTTTTATATTTTTATGTATTTATTAATTTTTTAAAATAAAATTTCACAAGTATTTTACTATTTAGATTCATCTAAATAAGATGCATCTAACAAAGTAAAAAAATTGGTTGAAATTTTAAAAATATTCACTAAAAATAAAAAATATGAAAATTAAAAAACTCAATTTCTAAAAAATTAAATTCAGAAGACTAAAACTAAACGCACCGTATTTTCCAAATTTAAATAGATCCAAAACTAAATACAGGTGAAGCTTTTGCCACTAGAATTTAGGAAAATATGCACAAGTTAAAAAAAAAAAAAATACAAATCAATGAAAAATTTATCAGTTTTAATAACTAAAATTAATTAATTTTTTTTTTATGAATTTATGATTTTTTAAAAAAATTAGTGAAACATCCTTCTTCAACTTTGTGTAGTAGAAGATGTCAAAAATATTTTTTTATTAGGTAAGGTCCTTTAACATTTTCATAGAAAAAATTCGATTCAGAAAAATTTCGACCGTGACTCAGAGAAATTTTTAGAGAAATTTCAATTTTCATAAAGAAATTTATCTAATTTCAAAGAGAAATTTAAAATTTTTCTAGTATGAAAATTGAATTTTTTTTCTAAGTCGGGATCAAATTTCTCTATAAAAATATTAATCGACCTTAATTATTATGAAAATATTATGTATTTTTTATCTTATAAAATATTAATATGAGGACTTAAAAAAAAATTCCCTAATTTTTTTATTTTTTATTTTTATTTATTTATTTATTTTGTTGTTGTTGTTGCTGCTGCTACTGCTGCTGCGGTGGTGGTGGTGTAGAAATACGGTTATTTACAAATGCTGCGGTGGTGGTGGTGTAGAAATACGGTTATTTACAAATGAAAAATGAGTAAGAGAACTAATTAGTCTTACTATTAATGATATGACAATAAGTCCTACCATAAATGATTTGATATTTTGATTTTAATTATATATATGTTAGAATTTACCAGAATTTACCATAACCCACTACACCACTACCACCTCACCTACTCCACTAAACCTAACCCACTACACCACCTCACCTACTCCACTAAACCTAACCCACTACACCACTACCACCATCCACTACACCTACATCTATATAAGGAACCATTTGTAATAGACAGAATAACACATCAAAATAAAAATCAATAATACATACATCAATTTTAACTTGGTATCAGAGCAGGTTTAGAACCTAATATTTTTCGCTTCACCGGCGGGCGGCAACCTCACCTTAGCCGTCCGCCGGACCTCCACCTATTCCGCTTATTTTCTACACATACCTTTCCCATTTCCAATGTAGTGGACGCTCGGCACCACATGCTGGGGAGGCTGGCTTCGATTCTAGCGAAAGAGCTCTTGAACGGCCAGAAAGTGGTGGTTGTGAGGTGCGAGGAGATATGTCTTTCCGGAGGACTCGTCCGCCAGAAGATGAAGTACCTCCGCTTTCTCCGCAAGCGCATGAACACCCAGCCCTCTCATGGCCCCATCCACTTCCGAGCCCCAGCTAAGATACTCTGGCGCACCATTCGTGGGATGATTCCTCACAAGACTAAGCGCGGAGCAGCTGCACTTGGTCGTTTGAAGGCTTATGAGGGATCTCCATCAACATATGCCCAAACTCCTCAATCTCCAATATTCAGCCTGACTCCGGCTCCAGCACCGGCACCACCATTCGTAAACCTCACGGCGTTACTCACAGTCACCGGCCCATACCACACCTTCCTCACCTACCTTCAGTCCACCAAAGTCATTGAAACCTTACAAAACCAAGCAAACAACACTGTGGAAGGGCTAACCCTCTTTGTCCCAACAGATGCTGCTTTCTCATCTCTCAAAAAGCCCTCTCTCTTTCACACCCCAATCCCGACAGCACGCCACCGTCCCACATGCACTATATGATGAAACCCTTTTTTTTAATCCATCCACTCCCTCTCTCTCTGGTCTCTTTTTTCTCTCCATCAACACACTGCAGCAGCAGAGGGAAAAGGGCCACACACACACAACACCCACGTGATTTCCCACTTTTTCTTTTCTTTTAATATATATATATATATATATTTTTATTATAATATATTTCCCCCAATATATTTCCACCATCCTCTAAAATAATAATTCTTCACACACTCACACTTTGACCCATTCTTTTCATAATCATCATGCTGACCATACACCATCCTCTAAGCTCGTAGCTCACATTAACATGGAAGTGGAAATAGATTGTGTATTAATTGTTTAATTCCTAAATAAATTAACAAGTAATATGCAATAAATTTAGGAAGAATGTGTTAAGGTTTTAGATTGGGCATCCACAAAAATGGTGCTCAAGTTAGCCATAGGCTAAGTCTTTTGTCTTGTTTTATTTTGTTTTTTTGAATTGGTTTAGGTCAAAAATCTTAAGCCCAGGCATTCCCCAAAGAGCTAATAACTCGTGGGTTTATGGTCACAAGTTGACGTTCAATTAAAATCTTAAATTTGTTTATTATTTTTGGCAAAAAACAAATCAACTCACAAATAGATTAAGTTGAAGAGTCATCTCTTATGAATTAATGAACTGAGTCAACAGGTCTACTTCTAGGGTAACGGACCAAGCTAAGTTATGCTTCAGCTACCCAAACCTAAGCCTTACACGAACCAAATCAACCCAGCCTTTCTTTGGCATGAGTTGAAGCGGAATTTTTTTTTTAGTTAAAATAGTCATAAAAAGTTAAAATAAATATTTTAATTTAATAAAATAAAATGTCACATTCAAATCATAATTATTTTATTTTTTTTTTCTCATAAAAGTCACAAAAATTAAAAAAAAATAAAAAAATCTATTCTAAATGAGTTTTTTTAGCCTTAGGCTAAATAGTTAAAAACCTAAAAAATTAACTCACATTTCAAACAAACCTATGAGTTTGGGCCAGTTGCATGCCTTCAAATCAAATAATGACTCTTAGTTTTTAGAATTTTTAGTTTTCAGAATTCACTTTTTAAAAAATTTTATATTTTTGTTTTCCATATTTTATTTTGTTTTTACTAAATTTTTTTAATATTTTAAGTAATTTTTTTAATTTTTAGACACACCTAACATAAATATAATTAAAAAGTATACTATTTGTGAAAAAAAATCTATAAAAAATTCATTTAATACCAAAAATATATAAAAAAATGAAAATTCAATATATTTTTTTTATATTTTTATGTATTTATTAATTTTTTAAAATAAAATTTCACAAATATTTTACTATTTAGATTTATCTAAATAAGATGCATCTAACAAAGTAAAAAAAATGGTTGAAATTTTAAAAATATTCACTAAAAATAAAAAATATGAAAATTAAAAAACTCAATTTCTAAAAAATTAAATTCAAAAAACTAAAACTAAACGCACCGTATTTTCCAAATTTAAATAGATCCAAAACTAAATACAGGTCTAGTGAAGCAGTATGCATGCCACTAGAATTTAGGAAAATATGCACAAGTTAAAAAAAAAAAATACAAATCAATGAAAAATTTATCAGTTTTAATAACTAAAATTAATTAATTTTTTTCTTATGAATTTATGATTTTTTAAAAAAGTTAGTAAAACATCCATCTTCAACTTTGTGTTTGTGTAGTAGAAGATGTCCAAAATATTTTTTTATTAGGTGAGGTCCTTTTAACATTTTCATAGAGAAAATTCGATTCAGAAAAATTTTGACCGCAACTCAGAGAAATTTTTAGAGAAATTTCAATTTTCATAGAGAAATTTAAAATTTTTCTGGTATGAAAATTGAAATTTTTTTCTGAGTTGGGTCCAAATTTCTCTATAAAAATATTAATCGACCTTAATTATTATGAAGATATTATATATTTTTTATCTTATAAAATATTAATATGAGGACTTAAAAAAAAAATTCCCTATTTTTTTTATTTTTTATTTTTATTTATTTATTTATTTTGTTGTTGTTGTTGCTGCTGCTGCGGTGGTGGTGGTGTAGAAATACGGTTATTTACAAATTTCTCTAGAATTTAAGCCCAGTCGGTTAAAATTCAGATATACACACACACTAGCAACAAAATGGAAAATTCATAAACTTCCATGGAATGGAAGTTGTGCTCCATTTATGCCCAAACATTGTGAAATTGATGTTCCAATCCAAGTCATAGTAGATTTACAACTTCCAATGGAGTTGGAATTTATATACTATGTGTGTATATTTGATTACAGTTGGGAGGCAAAGGAGCGAACTTGGCAGAGATGGCGAGCATTGGATTATCAGTACCACCAGGACTCACCATATCAACAGAAGCATGTGAAGAGTATCAGAAGAAGAATGGGAAGAAACTACCAGATGGGTTGTGGGAAGAGATATTGGATGGGTTGAAGATTGTTGAGAAGGAGATTGGTGCTTTTCTTGGTGATCCTTCTAAGCCTCTCCTTCTCTCTGTACGATCTGGTGCTGCTGTGAGTTTCTGCCCTTTTTTTTTTTTTTTGTGCATTGTTGATATTTTTTTTTTCGTTTTTGTTTTTGTTTTTGTGCATTGTTGATATTTGTCTTGACTAGTTTCTGTTTGTTTAGGTAAAAAGCAAGTTAGCCAAAAATGTTTTTTTTATGAATGCCACACTATTATTGTCACCATTAACACCACTACTAATACAACTACTAGGACGAGTGATGCTTGAGACCCACATTTTAGACCCGAAATATACAGAGTAATGTGGTAAGGGAGTGGAGCCCTATACGACCATTTTCCCTATTAGGATGTAGTTTTAATAGAAAAATGTTACTAAAAATGTTTTCCCTATACAGAGTAATGTGGTAAAGGAGTGATGTTTTTTTGTAGAAAAATGTTTTATGGCAAAAACAAAAAGAGGGTGGATATTGTTTTAATAGATGACATGATCTTGAATCCATGTGAATAGTCAAAGAAAAAAAAGTAAAGTTACTAAAAATTGTAAATTTGAGATGAGCTCAAATTCAAATACTACTAAGACCCCGTTTGGTAGAGCTGTGGGAAAATGATTATAACTTATACCTTAACAGCTTATAGCTTATAACTGTGAACATAAACTGATTTTTGACTTATAAATTAAGCTTCTCCTCCCCCACTCAAAGAATAAATTGATTTTTGACTTACAAAAAGTTATAAGCTGTATTGTTAAGCTGAACCAAATACATCAAAATAGCTTAAATTAAGCTAAAAGTTTAAATAAGCTGGAAATAAGCCCTACCAAAAAAGGCCTAGGCCTAGGAAGGGTGCCAAAACAAGCGGCACTAATAACAAAAATTTATAATGAAAGTTATAACTAGAACAAAATTTTGTTAAAATAGAAAGCATGCTGATTCAGAAGTCTAAACATTAGAATTGGGGCCAAAATCACAGCTGCGTTGGACTTCTGACTCTCCAGTTGTTTGAGAAACTCCTCGGCTACATGTCCTACTTCAATAAGAATCATGAAATTTCTTACTCAATCATGATTTTCATTCCAAAAACAGATACATATATAGCCCCGACTCCACCATTTAATAATTGTTGGTTATAGGAAGAGTCACGAACACACACACACACACACACACTGTGTGCTTGTAGAATTTTCTTTTATTAAAGAAAGCTCAGCTTATGCTATAAGAAGTTGCAAAGCACTTGATTTGAGCAAATGGAAATGCAAGTATGAAACTACATATGTACACTCATCTTTATATTTATAATTCAGATATCTATGCCTGGCACGATGAACACTGTTCTCAACCTTGGTCTGAATGATGAAGTGGTTGCTGGTTTGGCTGCAAAAAGTGGAGAGTAGAGCGGTTCGCTTATGATTCATATAGATGATTTCTAGACATGTTTGGAGATGTTGTAAGTGGTTCTTTATATTGAATTCAATTTTCTCTTCTCAAATGAGATAAATTGACAGTTTCAATCCTGACATGTCGTTATGCATTCACCTTTTTTTTCAAATTCTTGAAAATCCTCTTTGTATTGAAGGTCATGGGCATTCCACACTCATCATTCGGAGAAAAGTTAGAAAATTTGAAGAATGTAAAAGGAGTTAAGCTTGATACTGAGCTAACAGCCTCTGATCTAAAAGAGCTGATTGAACAATACAAGGATGTCTACCTTAAAGCGGGTGAAAATTTCCTTCAGGTACCTTACAACGGATATGCATTTGATACAGCTAGATACGTATCAGATATGCCAAATAAGTATCCAATTATTTATCTATTTATTTCCAATTTCGTATATGGGAGGATGGAGAAGGATACTGCAGGATTCAAAACACAATTTCTGGAAGGTTTTGGTTGGGGTCAAACTGTAAATAACAAATTCTTGTGCAAAATCAAAATGTGAACCAAACCTGAATATTTGATCGAATCCTTGTTATTGCTGGTTGTTAATTGAATGATTTTTAATGTAATCTTTGATGAACATAAATTTCTATTTTGAATATTAAGGAATTTAATACCGGATGTTTTATGAATATACTCTCCTGTTTCTGGTTTTATTTTTATACATAATACTACAATTATAACAATAATTTTATTTTTTTAACGAACGTATCCTTGCCGTACCTGTATCATTTTTTTCAGGTTTTCTCAGATCTCCGTATTCATATCCTATCATATCTGCATCCTTGCTTCCTTGGTTGAGATTCATATTGCTATTGTCAAGTTTATAACCACATTATACTTGTGTTTATCTGCAGACCCAAAGAAACAATTACAGCTGGCTGTTCAAGCAGTTTTTGACTCCTGGGACAGCCCAAGAGCTATAAAATATCGGAGCATTAACCAGATAACTGGGTTAATGGGTACAGCAGTGAACATTCAATGCATGGTGTTTGGGAACATTGGAAACACTTCCGGGACAGGGGTCCTCTTCACTAGGAACCCGAGCACCGGTGAAAAGAAGCTCTATGGGGAGTATCTAGTCAATGCTCAGGTCCTAAAATTCAAACCCTGTTTGATTTTTTTTGTAATTGACATTTTAAGTCAATGTTGAGAGATAGCTGGTTAAAATTTTTGAATAGGGAGAGGATGTAGTAGCTGGA